GCGAGTATAGACAACTCGAACCATTCCAACAACCACTCAAGCGAAGAGGGCTACGGGTTAGACTGTCCAATAGAAGTTTCAAGCGGCTAAGCCCCTGTAAGAGAAGTTACAAGCGGCCAAAAGAAAGATCCATGCAGCCAAGCAAATCCAAAGAAGGATCCAAGCGGCTAAGAGAAGGATCCATACGACAAAGCCTATTTTAAAGTGAATCCGTGCGCCAATGGACTCCACGAACAACGACCATATGAAGAGAATGAAGTCAAGCAAGGTGTGGACATCACTAATGATGGACTTCAACAATTTAATTTTTCTGTTCTTCACTCAAAAATCTCACTGACTCCAACAATTTAAGAGGTTTCCTTATGGGGGTGGGAGAGATCTACAATGTTTTTGAATAAATCTTTCTTAATTGTAATTCTATTATTATTTGAGATTTGATTTTCTTGTCAAAAGTGTTCAATTAATTAGAAGATTTTCCTTCCTTATATTTTACTTGACATTAACTACAAATAGATCTCTAAAAATTGGTTGTAAGCATTCGAGTATTTAAACTTGAAGTCAATAAAATATAAAATTTTTACTTTGTCAACTTGTAAGGTGTCTTCAATCTTCTTGCTGAGTAGAAAACTGGTGTCTACTTATCGAGGTAACTTCTGATATTTTTATTAATCTCTTTTCTTGAATTGATTTTAACTTATCAATTTTTTTTGAGTAGCGTTTTAATTAATTAATTTGTTTCTATTACTTTAATTTTAATCACGAGTTGATTGTTGGTTAAGTAAAAAAAGTTTATCTAGAAATAAATTTTGGTACTAATCGTTATTGTGTGAGTTTTGAATTATATTGTTGATTATGAGTTCCGCATCAGATCTTGTAATCAACCGTAGCAACAAAGTAATAAAAAATATTACTCTAGAGGTTGTTTGAGAAAGATATGGGTAGTAATGGAAATTTTTTCGAATGTTTATTTTAAAAATTAATTAATTTTTATTTTTAATATTACTACATAAAAGAGAATTTAAATTAAATTATTATACAAATAACTATTCAAAATAATTTTTTTATTCAATTAATTTTTAAGTACATATATATAAATATAATATATACATAATATTGTGCATTTATGTATTAAAATTACTATACAAATAATTATTTAAATTAATTTTTTTAATATATCTAATATTATTTCAATATCTACAATTATTTTTTTTCTTATACCCTCTTTGTAGTTTTAGTATTAACAATTATTTTAATTAAATACTCTATTTTTATTTTTTAAAATGATTAATATTTTTACAATTATTTTCAATAAATACTTAATAATTTCTGAATAAAAATATTTTTAATTTTCTTACATATTTTTTTCGAAGATAAAATGAAATTTAATAATTATGAAACTCGTAATCTAATGCGAAAAATCAACACAAAGATAATGAAATTTAGTTTTCTTATATTATTGATATTATTTACCATATTAATTAGAATAAATTAATTAATTATTTATTTATTCTAATTTTTATAAATGACCATATATATATATATATATATATCTGCACGGCCAGACTTGCATGTGAAGAATCTTTCTATTTATAATCACAATAATTCAAATCATACATGCTTATTAATTGGTTAATTATGAAACATATTAAAAACTTGTGCAGCCCTCATAAATTCACAGTTGACATATACACATGGATTTCAGAATTTCTATGACATATATCCAAATGTTGACTGGTAGAGTACCTATATATATACATATGTATTTATATATATATATATATATTTATATCCATAATATATATCTGCAATAGAGGTCTGAGATCATCTATTTTCAGCAGTAGTGTAGTGTTCTGACTGCATGAACCTTGCTGGATCTGAATTAGCTTTCAAACTAACAGAAAGCAATTACCAAATAATGAATTGTAATTTCAGGTCCAATCTTGAGATATTTAAGGAATATATATATATATATATATATATATGTAATGGGGGCTGATGAATTAGGTCATTTCATTATCAATTACTGTTAAGAAACAGATTTGGATGCATTGTTTCTTTTCTTAAAATAATATGTAATATAGAAGTTGGGCATGGATCATGTTAGTAGAATTATATATATATATATATAATTGGTAGACTAATACTGTGTTAAGCTATTGTAAATAGATATAGGCGTGTTTTTATTTGCTGCAGCAACAGCGAGTTAAGGAATATTTTTTTAAGAGTGACTTGGATCATATATATATATATATATACACACACACACACACATATATATATATGTATATGATTAAAAATATATATTATGTGTGAAATTTGTCTTTACGCTCCATCTATGTATACCTCCAAACAAATGGCTAATCTGTAAGCTTCAAATGAGTAAACCATTCACTTCTGTTGGTCACTTAAATAATAATTAATTCTGCAGAAAGAAATAATCAAACTGAAATATAGAACTATATAGATTTTATATATATATATATATATATGTGTATGAATATGAACACATGCATAAACATAGATACCAAATCAATTATAAAGAATAATTGGAGGGAGGGAGATGATGCGTGTTTATGTGTTGTAAAGAATCCGTGGTTAGTGAGGCATGTTTAATGTCATAATAGGGTTAATTAATTAATTAATTAATCACTAATTAATTAATTAATTAAGTTATGGAATGATGACGACACGGCAGTCCTCCCCCGAGTATGGGTTTGTGAAAGTGGTATAATAGTGGAGTGATAATTAAGGTGTATTCAAGCCCAAGTTTTGTCCTTTTTACATAACTTTCTCCTATAAATACAGATTTCTTCTGTTCATTAACTTTATACTTCGTTGTTAATCATCAAGAAAGTACAGACATATATATATATATATATTGATCTGAAGACATGGAGAGACAGGACAGGGGTGAAGCAGCAACTGTGGATATAATTAGCAGCAAACAATTTGATCATGAAGATGACAAGGAGGTTTGAATTGACATATAATTTGTAGTTATAATTAATATAATATAATTACTAACTAGTTGAAGTTCGGTGAATTAGAAGGTTGGATGGAAGAAGTTTCTGTCATTTGTAGGCCCTGGTTTTCTTGTGTCGTTGGCTTACCTTGATCCTGGCAACTGTAAGTCTCCATTTTCATTCCTCTGTCTTTCTCCATAGATATGTATATGTGTATGGATGTTGATGACATGCATGTTGCAGTGGAAACTGATCTGCAAGCAGGAGCTGACCACAGATTCGAGGTAATTAGAGAAATAATTAAGACTAATTAGTTTAAGAAAGTAGAATAATAATAATAAATTATATAATTAGATGCATGTGGGTGATTGATTCCAGCTCTTATGGGTGGTGCTGATTGGGTTGATATTTGCTCTCATAATCCAATCACTTGCTGCTAATCTTGGAGTCAGCACAGGTGATTAATCTAATTAATCCACTTTTCTCCCAGATTTTAATATATATATATATATATATATATATATATATATATGGGTGTTTGTAAATTTTTAATATTTTGATTTAGTAATCATCATGAATTTCAGGGAAACATTTGGCAGAAGTTTGCAAGGCTGAGTATCCAATATATGTAAAGTACTGCTTGTGGTTGTTAGCAGAACTTGCAGTCATAGCTGCTGATATACCCGAAGGCATATATATATATATATAATATTTCTCAATTTATAATATTATAAATTTCCTTGGGTATTAAAAATAAAGTATTTATAATAAATTTTTACAGTGATCGGGACGGCGTTTGCATTAAATATACTGCTTCACATTCCAGTATGGGGCGGAGTTCTGTTAACTGGATGCAGTACTCTCTTATTTCTTGGCCTGCAGAGATATGGGGTACTTCTTTTCTATCTCAATATATATATATATATACATACATGTATAGATGTATGTATATTTTAATGTGGTGGGTATATATATAGGTGAGGAAATTAGAATTGCTGATCGCTATACTGGTGTTTATAATGGCTGGATGCTTCTTCGGAGAAATGAGTTACGTACAGCCTCCGGCGGCTGATGTGCTCAAGGGAATGTTTGTACCAAAACTCAACGGTCATGGAGCCACCGGCGATGCCATTGCCCTCTTGGGCGCTCTGATCATGCCGTACGTATATACATATATACATATATATATTATTTTAGTAATGTCCCAAATATTTAATTTATTTACATTTTGACCCACAGGCATAATTTATTCTTGCATTCAGCCCTTGTCCTCTCTAGGAAAGTACCCAACACCGTCCGCGGCATCAATGTAAATAACTATACAACTACATATATATATATATATATGTATATCTTCTGTTAATATTTATGTTAATTAATCCTTGTTTTATTTTAATTAATCATGAAATATTGCAGAGTGCATGTCGGTATTTTTTAATAGAAAGTGGATTTGCGCTGTTCATAGCCTTCTTAATCAACGTAGCAGTCGTGTCAGTTTCCGGCACCGTCTGCTCAAGCTCTCATCTCTCAGACCAAAACGACAGCCGTTGTAAAGATCTCACTTTGAACTCTGCTTCTTTCCTACTCCAGGTCCATAATTATTTACATATTTATTTATTTAAATATACGAATTTCCATTTAAATAAATATCATCCTAATAACATTACGATCTTCTGCCAGAACGTGTTGGGAAAATCAAGCTCTACAGTTTATGCAATTGCACTTCTCGCCTCCGGTCAAAGCTCTGCCATTACCGGCACTTACGCAGGGCAGTATATCATGCAGGTGTGTAAGTATAGATTTTGGATTTTGTAAGTAATTATTTTTAACATGCATTCAAAACTGAGGAACTGGGTTGTGTTTATAGGGGTTTCTGGATCTGAAGATGAGAAAATGGATGAGGAACTTGATGACAAGGTGTATTGCAATTACACCGAGTTTAATAGTTTCCATTATTGGAGGTTCTCAAGGAGCCGGCAGACTAATTATAATCGCCTCGGTTAGTCAATTATTTTCACTTATAATATATATATATATATATGTGTGTGTGTATATATGTATTAATTATATTAAATTTGAAAATAATATTGCAGATGATACTTTCATTTGAACTCCCATTTGCTCTTATCCCACTTCTGAAGTTCAGTAGCAGTGCCACCAAGATGGGGCCCCACAAGAACTCAATTTACGTGAGTTGTATTGTATTATTATTGCTTTTAATAATGTGGGATTTAGACTTTAATTAATAATTAATTAAAATGGACGGTGCAGATCATAGTAATCTCATGGATTCTGGGATTGGGAATCATCGGCATCAACGTCTATTATTTGACCACGGCGTTCGTAGGGTGGCTGGTCGACAACAATCTCCCCACAGTGGGAAATGTGTTCATCGGAATCGTCGTGTTTCCGTTAATGGCCGTCTACGTTATCGCCGTTATCTACCTGACGTTTCGGAAGGACACCGTCGTTACGTTCATCCATCCAACCAACGACGACCATCCGGACAACGTCGAAGACGGCGTTGCTAACGCTAACGCCGCTGATTTCCAAGTTCCTTACAGACAGGATTTAGCCGATATTCCATTACCCAAATGAGATTATGGAAAATCATAAGGGTATTATGGTCAAATTATACCCTCGGGTTTAAGAACTCTCTCCTTTTTTTTTTTTTTTTTTTATTCTTCGTGTTGAAGAGTTAAAGTTTAATCGTTACATTTTGCAAATCCGTTATATTTCAAATTTCAAATTTTAAAAAAAATAATAAATTAAAATTTTAATTTTATTAAATAAAATATTATAAATTAATTGATAATATAATTAAAATAATAATTAAATTTATATTTTTAATAAAATTTAATGTCTGAATTTATTGGTCAAATGAATGAAACCCCATAAAATTCCAAATTAGGCGTCGTGGGTGGAAGAGGTTTGAAGTTTCATGATTTGAGTTAATAATTTGAATCTCAAAAAATCAAAAATGGCAGCTTGGAATTTCTATGTGCCTAAAATATAATATTTTCACACCTATATTATTGATTTATATTAGGGATTATTAGAATAAAATTTGAATTTTTTTTCAAAATTAATAATTTAAAGTGTTTTTAGATAAGATTATATCGAATTTAAATTTTTTAAAAATAATCTAACAGAATCTAAAAGATAAACGTTAATCAAATTTTTTTAAAAGATAAATATGTTTTAAATCTAATTAAAAATAAATTATATTTAAATTTAAATTAATAAATAAAATAAATTTTAAAATTTAAAATATATCACAGTGGTTCATGGTGCTAGATTAACTGTGAAGTATACCCTCAAGCATGTGCATATATATCTAAATATATATATATATATATATGTATATAAAAGTTAGGTGAGTGTGAACACAAGTAGTCAACGATGTTAGTAACATTATGGGCGTCTGATGATAGGGGAGGTAACAAGTGGTATATATATCATGCATTAATACCCCATATATATATATATATATATATATATCTGTGTGTATTTCCAGAGGCATAGATTTGTGAGTGGTGGCGATAGGCTTTGTTTTGGACCTTCACTTTAAGAGTGGTTTGAGATCAGATGGGTAGCCTGGAGCCGCAACAAGAAGAGAATAAATGGAGCCAGGGAGTTTCATTACAAGTATCAACTACTTCTACCACTGAAGATCACAAAAAACTCAATATTAACAATGAAAAATTTTCTCATCGTCGTCATCACCCTGCAGATCTCCAGGTTTAACTAATTTATCATCTCCTGTTTCTCTCTCTCTCTCTCTCTCTCTATATATATATATATATATATATTATAGTTATATATGGGTCAAAATACTACTAATCTGGGTTCTGTATTATTTTGAAATATATACGGTAGGTTAGCGGATGGAAGAAGTTTCTTTCATTTGTAGGCCCTGGCTTTCTCGTGTCCTTGGCTTATCTGGATCCTGGAAATTGTAAGTAATGATGTATATATATCAATCTGCGTGGCTATATTGCTCTTTTAATTCTCAAAGATTGATACATGAAAACGATATTCTTGCAGTGGAAACTGATCTTCAAGCAGGAGCCAATCATCGCTACGAGGTAATTAATAATTAACTTCAAATATATGCTTACAGTATAAATAATAAAATTACTGATACCCATTCGGTTTCTCGTATGTATACATATATATATGTATATTCAGCTGTTATGGGTGGTGCTCGTTGGCTTGGTGTTTGCTCTCATAATTCAATCTCTGGCTGCTAATCTTGGAGTAACCACTGGTAATTGATATTTTTCATCAATACTCTACTTTTGTGTGTGTGTGTGTGTCGTGTGTGTGTACGTATGTGTGTGTGTGTCGTGTGTGTGTACGTATGTGTGTGTGTATATATGTATATATATATACATTAGGTCAATTCTGGGATTTGTTTAATAATATGTATCGAATTTTACTCAGGCAAACATTTGTCAGAAATATGCAAGTTTGAGTACCCAATACATGTCAAGTACTGTATATGGTTACTAGCAGAAATTGCAGTCATAGCTGCTGATATACCCGAAGGTATGTACATATACATATATATATATATTTAATCTCTTATTCACATATCCATACATATATATATATATATATAACAAGTTTGTTTTCTTTTATAAAATTGTGGTGCAGTAATTGGAACAGCCTTCGCTTTGAATATTTTGTTTGGCATCCCAGTATGGTCTGGAGTCCTATTAACCCGGTTTAAGCACCCTTTTGTTTCTTGGTTTGCAAAGATACGGGGTAAATAATTAATTACTCCAGTTAATTCTAATTAAGTACTAATTATTTCATAAAATATCAAATTAATTTATTTTAATTTGAATAGTAAACCCACATGTTATAAATTTGTAAAGAAAAAAAAAAAAAAAAAAAAACAAAATTATCAAGAGCTAAGTCATTATAGTCAACAATGGAATATTAACTGATAGAGACAATTAACAATTAAATCTTGACTTACAAATTATTTTTTGTCGTGCGCAAGAATTTGTCTTCATGTGTGATTTAATCTTTTCTGTCATCATATATATAATTAACGATCGTGATGGTGGTTAAATATACAAATGCATTATACGTATATATGTGTATGCACACAGGTGAGGAAGCTGGAAATGTTGATAGCTGTAATGGTATTCATAATGGCTGGATGCTTCTTTGGAGAATTGAGTTATATAAAACCTCCTGCAGACCAAGTGCTCAAGGGAATGTTTGTACCAAAACTCAGTGGTCATGGAGCCACAGCTGATGCCATTGCCTTATTTGGTGCCCTTGTCATGCCGTATGTACATATACATTAACCAAATTACACACACATATATATATGTGATGTATAATTTCTTCATGTTAAAATAAGAAAACTAATAACTTGGTTTATTGAACAGGCACAATTTGTTCCTGCATTCAGCTCTTGTGCTCTCTAGGAAAGTTCCTAATTCTGTTCGTGACATCAATGTACGTTAACCCTGAAAACCCATTTACAAAAATTTCGTATAAGAATCCACAAAGAAACGATTCAATTCGTTTAATTATAAAGATAGTTAGATTGTACTAATACTTTTTTTTCGTTATAATTTAATAATTCGCAGAGTGCCTGTCGATATTTCTTGATCGAAAGCGGGTTTGCATTGTTCATAGCATTTCTAATCAACGTAGCAGTTGTATCAGTTTCTGGAACTGTTTGCTCGGAATCTGATCTCTCACAAGAAAACATTCAACGTTGCAATGATCTTACTCTTAACTCTGCTTCTTTTCTTCTTCAGGTTTGTGTGATTTATTTATTAAGAAATAATGACTTTCGTTACATTTTAATTTTGGATTAATTTACGTATAATTAATTTAGTTAAATTCGGAGAAATTGAAAATTCTAATGCTGGGTTTTCATTTGTTTTTTTTTTTTCAGAATGTATTGGGGAAATCTAGTTCCACCATATATGCCATAGCACTTCTAGCCTCTGGTCAAAGTTCCACCATAACAGGCACTTATGCAGGACAGTATATTATGCAGGTCTTCAATCTCTCCCTCTCTCTCTCTCTCTCTCTCTCTCTCTATATATATATATATATATATATATATTTCTTTGTCTTTTTGCACCAATACTTTGTTTCGAGTATAATTATAAGTTTTATATATCATGAATTATATATTTTCTATGTAGGGTTTTTTGGACCTAAAGATGAAAACGTGGTTGAGGAATCTAATGACAAGGTGCATCGCAATTATACCCAGTCTTATCGTATCCATTATTGGCGGATCTCAAGGATCTGGCAGGCTCATCATCATTTCATCGGTTAGTCAAACTGATATACATACACATATACAGTATACACACACACATATATATATTATTATACCTATAGATAGTCAAGGAAAGAGGACTGAGTTGGCTAAGTTGTAATAAAATATCATTTTGGTTGATTCTTGCAGATGATTCTTTCCTTCGAACTTCCCTTTGCTCTCATTCCACTTCTTAAATTCAGTAGCAGTTCCACCAAGATGGGACCTCACAAGAACTCAATTTATGTGGGTCTCTATTTTTCTCCCTACCCTTTTTCTCTTCCTTTCAATTTTGTCGTTTCTCTGAAATTATATAATAACACAATTTTTTTTTGGGTGGATGCAGATAATCGTAATCTCATGGATTCTAGGGTTGGGACTGATCGGCATCAACGTTTATTTCTTAAGCACGAGATTGGTAGATTGGATAATCCACAATCATCTTCCAAAAGTTGCAAACGTGTTTATAGGGTTGGCAGTATTTCCCCTTATGTTGGTCTATGTGCTGTCAATTATCTATCTAACATTCCGTAAGGACAGGGTTGTCACGTTCGTTGAACCACTGCCTCAAGATAACATGGAAACTGGCCTTGCCAATTCTACTACTCACCCTTTTCAATCGCCTTCTGTGCCTGGCAAACACGATGTAATTTAGTCAGTGTTCCGTTGCTTATAAATTATAAATAAGAGTTTGACGAGAGTTATATATGTACGTATATGGATATTAGAATTGAAGAGAAATTATATATTAGGCTTTACTATAATGTTGTAATGTTGGTTTTTTAGTTACCCAACCTACCGTAACATCTTACAATCAGTGTTAACACAGATTGTAGTCTCATGTGATAATACCCTTCTAACCAAATGCTCTCAGTGTCATTTAATAGCATTTGAGGGTGACTTTTACTCGTAGGTAAAAGTTGTTAGGCCTAACTATTTTACCAATTTTTGGTAAATATAATTCATTGATTAAAATAATATATGCTTTGAATTATATACAGTATGTATGGAATATAATTTTTGAAAAGTATACGGAAAATAATTAATACGAATAATAAAAGAAATTAACTTTCCACTACTAGTAGTCTTCCCGAAAAAAACAAGCATACATCAATTAAAGAAATAAAATTTTGGTCGACATTCAACAATTTATTTTAAGATTTCATGTGTTTTGTAATATTTGCTCCTGTATCATAATTTTTTTAAGACTAATGAAGCCGATTATAATTAGTTTACCTGTTATATATAAGTTAAATATATATATATATATATATTGAACTTATACATGTAATTGAAATAAAATAAAGAACACACACACACATTACCATAACAAAAATATTGCAGTGGCAAAGGCGGCTGGTGTTTTTGCTCACATGATCCATGTGGAATTCAGCCTTTCGTGTCACAGGAAGTGCTATGATCCGACTGCCATTCTTGCGTACCTTCTACCGAAGGGGAGACAATCCTCTTTTCTTTTTCTTTTCCATAATATTCCTCATACAAATGAGACATTCAATTTAATTCTTTTTTGGCCTACAAAACATGTACTAATTTTATCCCCACTAAACACAAATCTTACTGCATCCCGTCATAGTTCATGACGTCAAAGACTTCCGTTACAGCTTCCGCAATCCGGTGCTTGCATCACTAAGTGGATGATTATCAACTGAAAATTAAACGCTATGTGCTTCATTTTTACAAAATTAATTTTTGTAAACTAGTTGAGCAGGTGTTAATAATCTAGTACAAACTATAAACTTGATTATGCAATGCTACAAGCCCTATGAACTGCATCAGTTATCTTCCTTTCTATAAATAAAGACTAAACAATGTGAAGCAGTTCACACCTTTACCGCTCATCCAAATCTATTAGCCTTCTCTTTGCAGTGCTGAAAGCATGTAATGGTCAAATGAATCAAACCCATAAAATTCCAAATTTACACCATCTATTCTGTTTCAACCTAGACCAGAGCTAGTGCCCGACATAGACCTCAGCATTGGATGATTGAGGGTAGGCTGGGATTACCTGGCGCATTGAACATCATACCCGAAGGAGATGATGATGATGGCTGTATGGCGTTAAGAGGCAGCCTAGGCCCCTTAGGAAACACTTGCTGCCGTGACAAAAATGGCATCTGAGGATGTACTGGTTGGCTATTGCTGTATCCTGAAATGCTTGGCTGCGTCGGTGAGGGTGAGAGTACCTGTTGCCTGTTGTTGCCAACATTGTTGTTAACCATGGAAGGAGCAACACCTGGTAGACTCACTTGCGAGCTAACTCCAGTAGGTGCAAATCGAGCTGCAACCATACGAGCCCTTTCTGCAGCAAACCTCTGCCTGGCTTTCTCTACTTGTTCACATTCTTTCATTAACAAGGTTTCCACTTCTGCAAACTGCTTCAACTTCAGCTCCAATCTCTTTAACTGAGGCAGATATTATTGACTTGGTCTCAATCCAGAGTAAGTTATTGAAAAGTAAAACAGGTTTAACCTCTAAAGAACTAAGCAACATACTACCAAAAATCCAGGGCAAAAAAGACTGAAATTCTTCCACAACTAATCAAACCATCACTAGGTGTATTTTCAATTAAAAGTACTCAGAAAGGGGATCAATTGGCTAGTTGGCATTAACTCTTAATACAAGGCATTACCAAGTGAAACAGTTGAAACTGCAGACAGCTTAATCTGCAATGTATGCATCTGTTGATTTATTTTTTTATGAGGAAGCTATCTATTTGAATAAGGAAGAGAAATTACAATCTAAAGGTGGACAAGAAATCATACAAGAAAGAGAATTAAAAAATAGGAAAAAGGAAAAAAAAAACAAAAACAATCCATGCCAATAATTGCATGAAACATCCAAGATCATTTCAATTGTATACATACAAGATCCTTTCAACCATTAAATACCACAATACAGGACCTAACCAGAATTTCAAAAAAAAATTTGTACAGTCACCTGACATTTAAGCTTTTGTTTTAGAATAAATCTACGATTTATATGGGTGTCATTTGGAAGACTACCACTCCACCACATATTTCTTTTTTTAACTGGGGAAGCGGTAAAGGAGCGTATTCTGACTATTGACAACTTAATTAAAAGGGGAAAGATCATGGTCAACACATGCTTCTTGTGTAAAAGTGACGCCAAGACTAGCAACAACATTCTGCTTTGGTGTCCGTTTACTTACAAACTTTGGATCTAAGTTCACAGTCTTATGGGCATCAACTGGGTTATGGTAGGGTCGGTGAAATGAGTTGATGGCTTGGATCAGTAAGAAAAAGAGTATCTTTCATCTTATTCCTTTGTCTATATTTTGGGTTACTTGAAAAGAGAGAAACAGTAGGACTTTTGAAGGGAGAAAAGAACATATTGTTAGCATTACAGAGAGATGCTTTCATCATTTTGGTTCCATGATTTTGGGGCATGACCTTTATAGGATGGATGATTTTGGGGTTATCATAAATATGCTTACCTGTAAGTTTTTTGTAAATGGGCGGCACCCTCTTGATGCCTTTACTTAATTCACTTTTCACACTTTCTATTTCAAAAAAAAAGTTCCACTGATATGAAACTTTTATATGGAATTGGAGCATGTATTCCAAATCCCATCACATTTGATGGAATTTGAAATGTATTGTTCCTGGATCTATATGGATATGAACTTTATTTTTATTTGTTATAATGATTTTCATCATCTTCTAACCAAAATAAGTGTGGCTTTGCAAATGAATTCCATGTAAGTTTTGGATTTGTTCCGGACACGGTAAAAAAGCGAGGTCCATCCGAAGTAATACTCTATTGCAAAAGGTCCCCTGCTGCCTATGGAAATGCTGCTGTAAAGAGTAGATCCCACTACCACAGTCTATTTGTGGGAATCTCCATCTGGGACAGTGGATTATCAAAACACCCTCAAACTCAGAAATTAATCTATTGAACACAGATAATTCCAAAGTTGAAAGCTGTATCCATCCAGGAAACAAGGATATAATATGGCTAAGAAATGCGGACACGTGCTCAAAACATCAAAACAACCCGGTACGGCCAAGGTATTCTCTTAACGGGCTTAAATTCATTAGTTACACTGATTGACTTGATTTGACCTACAATTGACAAGCAATCACCACTAGGATCTTGTACACACACACACACACACACAAAAACACATGCTAGATGCAAATGCCTCAGCACAGAAAAGACATGCAGGAAAAATACCTGGTTATTTACAATATTAGCAGAAAGCCTTTGAATTTCACGTTCTTCATGATCTGCAAACAATTTTGCTTTCATTGCGGCAGCAGAAAGGCCTGCTTTTGCAGCTGAATTGACTCTCTCTGCAGATAATGAAAGCAATTGCTGCCCCATTTTGACTCCATGAACCATGCCTCATTGAGTTCTCTTCTGAAATTTAATAGAGAAAACATTTAGAAATTGGCAAAAAGAAGTGGAGAAGGAAGAGAAATACAGAAAAAGTCAAACTGACCCTTTTGCGGAATTTCTCCATGGAAACTGCCTTCTCTATTATTTATGCTCCCAGAATTCATTCTTCAGGGATTAAAAAGAATAATTAATACATAACAGAGCAAGTCACATATAAAATTTGGATGGTAGACGCACATGCAGACAAGTGATAGAGAGTTATTAAATTGAGAATTCAAAAACAAGGAAATGCATTCCTGTTCGAATTAAGAGAGTTGTTTAAATTGAAAAATATAAGGAGAAAATACACTACCTATTACTGCGTCCAGATCCTTCCTGTCCAGAAGTAGCTAAGCCATCACCCTCAGACAATGCTGCCAGAGATGCATGGGCACAGGCTGCAGCAACTCTTGGTCCAACAGCAGAGGCCAGAAATGCAACCTAGACAAATTTCTCCCAGTTAGATCCATGAACCTCAAGTTAGCAAGTTCTCTGACCAAAGTCAAATATGAAACCATCATCTGGCATTCCTGCATAGACTACTGCCTTAAGGGAGAGAAAATATGGCTCATAAGCTTTCTTTTAGCTGAATTGACTTTAGATAATGAACTATCAACCTCAGATTATTAAAATCCAAGTTAACTGTCAAGTTCTGCAGATATTTCATTTATAGACAAGTAGCTTGAAGCAACAAAAGAAGACTGAAAGCTAGGATGATCGTAGCCACCAGACAGCAGCCATTAGCCTTAAGTAGAAAAAAAAACAATTTGACCACAATCTGATGACCTAGGTCACCAGACTTACATCTCTGTCTCTGTAATACTGATCTTTTTTTCTCTTTATATTAGTTTCTCAAGTATCTCCAGCCACAACCTCTTGGGCATTTGTTCTCTCTCTTGCAAAATTAATATCATATTGCGCAGAGTAAACAGGAGAATTTTGAACTCTATTTTCCTGTTCGTTGGTTTCATGACTTACTAGTATGGATGGAGTAAGTTTCAATCATTTATAGAGGGGCCTGCTTTTGTTGTCTGAATGCTTATCTCAATCCTGGCAAATATAAGCCTCTCAGTCCATTTTTCTATTCATATGCATGTGTGTAAGTTATAAAAATTTCCATGGGGACATGTTGCATGGAAATTGATCCAAGCAAGCACTTATCTCAGTATGAGGTAAAGAAATAACTGGTAACAAAATCTAGAACAAGTATATGCTCATTCATAAGTCACGCCCACTCATGTAGCATAGTTACAACATGAAATCAACTTGATGGCAAACTCCAACTGACGAGAATATATATAGTTTGCTTTATTTACAATAAGCACATTTACAACACGATCAGCACTCAGTACTACAATTTCAAAATCCAACTTGGTCTCTTCTAAACATCTTCTTAAACAGTCTGATGGTCATAACACCCTTAATTATGAGGAAACGACGATGATGCTCTTAAATTGCATATGTAAACGCTAACAAAGGCTTCTGAACTTCACAAAGCCACATACAATTATATGCAGTTTATTTAAAGAACACTTAGAGAAAAATAACCAGAAAAACAACTAAAACCTAAGGGATTAAAAACATAAACTTTATGATTATAAAAGGTTTTGTGAGAATCACACCAAACTACATCCAGACTCGTCTGGCTGTATCTCTAAGTCAATAATACTTCATAAGAAAGCAACAGAGAAAAAAAACTACTGAAGCTTAGGACAAGTTTGGTGTCATACCAAGGCCATGACAGGATTTGCAGAATTTTCAAAAGGAAGCCTGACTTCAGACTCAGTCCTCTGAACGCAAGACTCTGGAAAAACAAACAAAAAATAAGCAAATATTATTAAAAAACTTCACCAGCACCACCACTTCATCATGATCATTTTATGACTGGTCAATAACACGAGTAAAAATAGGAACACCTGGTAGATCCCCATTTGAGTTTGCATCTAGTCCTCTACAATCATCTCTATTGGAAGAACTTAATGACTTGGATTTACTGGGAACTTCAATGTTCTCCAACAGGCCATCCTCCATAGGCAGACGAAGAAAATGGAGGATGCATTGTGCTTTTGACTTGCTGCCTACATGGTCTGCAATATCATTCCAATTTTCATTGTAAATTTCCATTGCCTCAAGAAGCAGCAAAGTTTCTTGATCACTCCAACTTTCCCCATCCAGATCACCATAGTCTTTTGTTGAATCCACCTTTACAAAATCAATACTCGAATGACCAGTAACATTCCTCCCCTCATGGAAACAATCAGAGCACAGGAGTATATCCACCTGTTAAATCAAGACAATAATCAAACAACCCATGGAAAGGAAGCAGTAAACACCAAGAATCATGCTAAACCAAAATTTTGAAAGGTACAGTTCATAAGCCTAGAATCAACCCAAGTGAATAAACATCGTCAAATAAGATCTCTAGTATCTCATCTGAACTAGACCTACCAGAAAGATCCCTCTGCACCTTTTATAAGCAAGTATTCGCCTGATAGACCAATTTTTCTATAGGTTATTAAGCCATTGAACATGTTCTTAATAGTAGTCATCAACTTACAGTGAACTGCCTAACACCTAATACCTTCTCACTTATGCATCCACACAGAAACCATTAAGTAGGCTAGAATGTTGAACACCCAGACACCAAAATCGTGCCCTATTTATCTTCCTCAAATTATCTGCCTCATTTCACCAGCAAGTGTTAGTTATCACATGCCACAATGGTTATATGATTAAGTTGATATTCTGACCCTCTTCAAGTCTCAAATTAGAAAACAGGAAACTATCATCAAGCATGAACAAAGTTTTAGTATGCATCTTCATGACAGACTGAAAGGGAATACAAATAATTAAGTATGTAAAGTATACTTCTAGTTTCAAGCAAATGCTGCAATTATTTCTGATCAGCAAAAGATTATGTTGTTCTTATATTGCATGAAACCCACGAAATCACTTATGTTTTGATGGCTGCGCTCCTTCAGTTTTCATTTCAAAGGTTTTAGTATTTTCTTCTTAACAAGGTGATTAAGGGCAGTATAAACCAAAAGGATGACATACTAAAAGCAAGGATATCATTACCATGGAAACCGTGGAAACCATCTCTTAGGTTTATGCTTCTATTCTTCTTACTGCCGAAGAAGGATGGCTTTTGCATCTTAGTCCCGGAAGATAATTAGGCAATTCTTCTTCATATTTCTCTCCTATTTCTCTCCTTCCAAAGTCCTCTAAAGCATTTGCATATGCCTTTGGGAGCAAAATTCAAGGATATATCTATACAAGACCCAGTAATGAGTAGATTTACATTGAGATTTATTGTGTGAAAGAGGGTATGCTATCAAAAGGAGGCAATTGAGACTGATTAAAAGTACATTAGCTAGTACCCCTATTTACCTCATGTCTTTATTCATTGTTCCCTCCATGGTGGCTAAAAGATTAGAGAGGATCCAATGCAATTTTCTGTGGGGAGATACAGTGGAAAAAAGAAGACATGATATGGTTGCATGGGCAACAGCAAAATGGCCTAATCAGAGAGGAGGATTGGGATTGAGATTGCTATTTGAGTTTAATAAAGCCTTACAAAGGAAATGATCACGGAGATTTATGGGGAAGCAAGAAAATTATTGGTGGAGAGCGATAGTGGCAAAACATGAGGTGGAAGGACTGGGATGGTTTACTAAATTCTCAAAAGATCACATTGGATGGGGATGTGGATGAGAATCTTTATGGGGAAGGGAGACTTTCAGGGGTGTATTAGATGAAGGGTCGGGGGAGAAAGTAAGCAATTTTCCAATATATATGCAATAGCTCTCAATAAGGGAAGATACCATCACACAACTTCAAAGAAACCAATCCGAAAGTTGAATTCTTCAAGTGTCTTTTTGATGAAGTCTTCTTATGACCATTCGAGCAACGATGAGGTGGATGGGAAAGAATTTCTTGCTAGATAGATCTAGAAGATAAAGGCAACCCCAATGGTGGCTTTCTTCACTGGGAAGGCAGCAAGGGAATGCATTTTAACTTTTGATAATTTGGTAAGGATAGACACAATTCTTGTGAATGGATGCTACTTATGTGAAAGAGATGCAGAATCCACACCAATTATCATGCTAAATGCACTCTATTACCTACTCTTTTTTTTTTAAATAATGCTAAATGCACTCTATTACCTGTTAAAACCCTCATTTTGAACATAAGGACTTTTAGACGAGAATCTAATGGTGATCTATTAAAGCGTACATAGTGCATTTTACTTTGCTTATGGGGGCTTAATTGTAACCTAATAATTTAATTACCTTGAATCCCTTGGTTTTTTTACTTGAAACATATCCTCTCTCTTCTAAGGAAGGTCTTGATGACCTATTGATACTTTGATGAACATAACTTCTAATAGGTAACAAAATACTTTAATATATATTACTATGCAATGGCTATAATGCTTATTCCAAGAGCCAAGCTAGAATTACAAATTAGGTTGTTTTAGCTTATGTACAGTCTCTTCCCTTAATAGTAAGACTAAAGTATTTTACCCATTACCAAAAAGATATAATAATAATGCCTAAAGTTCAAACTATCTAGAAAAAAAGGTTCAACCAAGTTGAATTGAGTTGCACTTGACCAGGAGAGAGAGTGCTAGTGAAACCTTTCCATTGCGTATGATCTGAAAGGTGAAGGCGACTCCTAGGTGGCTTTTTTTACTTAGGAAGCAATGTGAATCCCCATTCTTATCTTGGACAAATTAATAAGGAGATGGAAAAATCTAGTGAGCTATTGCTATTTGTGCAAGGGTCATGAAGACTTTGGTTTACAATCTTTTAGGTCTTAAATGGGTGGTTGCTAACTTTGCGAGGGAGTTGCAAGCCTAGAAAGGGCATTCAAAGAGATAAAGCAATCTATAAGGCTTATCTCTCTGGCTATTTTGGGTTATTTGGAATGAGAGAAATAAGAGAGTTTTTGGAGAGAATTCTATTGATAGTTCTAAAAATATATGTGTTGAGAATATTTTATTATTTTACTATTTAATAAGTTGAGATAATATAATTAGATTTCTACGAGAATAATAATCTCATATAATTAGAATTTTACCATAATAAGAATCTTATTAACATTAGATTAAAAATTCTACAAATATCTCATGTGTAACAACATAAAGGGTGAGAAATAAAGTTAATATTTTTTTTTCCAAAATTTACATGGTATCAAAGCCAAAATAAGGATATTTTAAGGTTCTAATTTCAAAATTTTTTTCCAAACTCTAAAATAGTAAAACATACTAAGTTGGTACTCATCTATTAAGATCTAATCTCACTACCACCCTAAACGAAGTCGCAGCTTCACCGCCGGTCTACGCCCCGAACTCAGGTGACCGTCTCCAAAGCGCATGAACCACAAGCGCCGCCGCTAGTCGCCACATTCAGCCGCAATTTCATGGAGAATCACCACAAAAACTGTCGGCGGGTTCAGATCTGACACAAATCTTGTGAAAATCGCATCAGAACTGCTCGAGTATGCCTTTCGTGCGATTCGGCCATCGCAATCTTCTTCTTCGGCCATGTGTGTCTCTTCTTCCAACCTTTGGTGTCGAACGAGCACAAGACCAACATATCCAGTGCCTCTTCCTCTTCAGTCGCACAAATTCGCCCCGCCAAGGACAGATCACCGCACAATTTGCTGCTTCAAATCTGTTCTTTGACCACCCGCAGCGCCACTTCTCTGGTTTCGCGATACTGGCACTTATTCGGCTCCTCCACGTGTGAGCCGCTCTGATCAATCTTTTCTGATCCTTTTTTAGCTCTTCCACACACGTCCTCCCTTGGTTTTGCGATCTAATGCAGATATGCTTTCTCTGCGCACGACCCACTCCAACTAGCTTTTTCTGTCCTTTTTCCCAGCTCTTCCACACACATTCGCCTTTGGTTTTGCAATTTGGTGCCGATCCGGCTTCTCCGCGCGTGAGCCACTCCAACTGGTCTTTTCTGGCTTTTCCGCGTGCATCCACCATTGGTTTGTAATTTGATCTATAAGTTGGACATGTGTTATAGTGCTGCACCAACTTGAGAGAACACAGACTACTAGTGATCCTTTCATCATTGCCAAAACAATTGATAATCAAATTTTCAATAAATTTCGGTCTTTTTTTTCTTTACTTTACTCTTTTTTCCTTATTAAACTTTATACTTAAGGATCCTGATATTAATCTAGACTGTTAGCAAGATCATAATTTATGTGAACAAAAGAAGGGGGTAATTCATAGAATTAGTTAGATCTAATATCCCCTTCATCTATCCACTATAGATATATACAGATATATAGATATATTGACTTTAATTTCGTACATCCGCCCAATCACGATTTATTTTTGAAAATAACTAAAATTCGATTACCCATATATCATGTTTACGCATACATAAGAGCTTTTTTTCATTTATATTCGGAGTAATTTACATGTTCTACAATATTCTACTAAATAGATACCTGCGTTAGATGTTAAATAGGATATTTTATCATTTTATTATTTTATTAATTTATTATTTAATTAGTTGAGATGATGTAATTAGAATTTTATGAAAATAATAATCTCATATAATTAAGATTCTACTATAATAGAAAATTTCTTATCAGTAGATTAAGAACTCTATAAATACCCCGTATGTAATAACATAAAAAATGAGAAATAAAGTGAATATTTTTTTTCGAAAATTAACAATATAGTTACAGGTCCCTAGTTTTTTCTTAAAGAGTCATCTGTTATATTCTAGAGAGGATTTAGGGAGATCGTATTGATATTTTGTTGGGCCA